GACGTCTCAGACACTGTCTGTGATGTCTCAGACACAGTGTCTGTGACGTCTCAGACACTGTGTATATATATCTGTCTGTGACGTCTCAGACACTGTCTGTGATGTCTCAGACACAGTGTCTGAGACGTCACAGACAGTGTCTGTGACGTCACAGACACTGTCTGTGATGTCTCAGACACAGTGTCTGAGACGTCACAGACACTATGCTCTCGTGTCATAGCTGGAGTCATGTGACCACGCTGGCCCTCAGATCTGATATTTCTGTTTGAACCGCTGCAACAAAAGTAATTTAATGATGTGGGGACATCTTCATGCTGACTGCAACTTGATTCACGAGACAGTTTTCAACTACAGTAGTCCCTCATTTATCGCGGGGTTTACGTTCTGGACCCCTCTCCTCCCGCAATAAATGAAAAACCACGAAGTAGGAATTCTATGTTGTATTTATTTTAGTATTTCTATATATTTTAAGGCTTTATCAAGCCTTCCCACACTCTTGCAATGTTCTAAACTCTTAAACCTGCATCATTTTAACAACGTACTACTGCATAGTAGCTACGTACTGCAAATAAAACCACACAATGGTCCAGATCGAGTCCAAGTCCAAATGAAAAATGTCCTGGTGAGCTCTGGAGAAAACACTGGACCCTCCAAGCAACACCTCCCCGCTGGAGAGGCTCCATGGGCAGGCAAGCAGCTCTCAGATTGACCAATGATGTTGGAAGTCCGGTTCTGGTCCAATTCCCAGTCAGTTCCGTACGGCTCTCTGCATCCACTGAGCGCCAAAGTCACTATGAATAAGGACCAAACTTTTTTGGATCGGATCAAAACTTTCCCTCCATTTCAGCAGAAAGCAACGGCTGGTACCACTGTTGGGGCTTCTGGGAAATGTAGTCCTTTTGAGTTGCGATACAGTGTAGGCTTATTGAGAGAAAACTACAGAATGGTGGCGCCTGTCCAAAGTATTTTTTTTGTTAACTTTGTACTGTGTCCCGTACTGTCCCAATCACGTAATATTAAAGTTGGCAGTCGTGTGTCGTGTATGACCTTTGTTTTTGTTGAGTACAATCTTACTTTGAGCACGTTGATAACAGGTTCTGTTTTAAATGTGCTCTATAAATAAAGTTGACTTGACTTTGAAAAACCGTGAAAGAGCGAGTCCGCAAAAGTTGAACAGCGAATCAGCGAGAGACTACTGTAGATGAGAAATCCCGGCACGTTTAACTATCACAAAATATTGTTGCACTCTTCGTAAAATCTGAAAAAACACGAACTATTCCTGTAGCCTTTTGCTGCTCGAGTTGTAATTATGTCTCTTGTCGATGAGCGGCTTTATCAGAACTGTTTTCCACCTTTTCTCCTCAGCTCTCCAGCAGGAAGTGGCAGACATAGAGTCCCAGGGATCTCTGGCTTCCCACCTGCCTCCCTGCAATCCAAACGCAGAGAAACTAGAGGACGTCTACCCGTTCGATGAAAGTATCCTTTATTTACCACGTGTTTGTGTGTACCTGTAGGAGTGTAAAGAATACAGCAGAGGTTGTTTCTACCCTCAACTGGTTCAACAGTCTTGAGTCCGGATGAGTTTGCTGCTTTAGAGCAGGCTGGTTCCAAGATGGCAGCACTTACCACAGAAGAGCTGAATAAGATGAGAGATGAAGAAAAGCAAGTGGCTCACACCTGTGGATTTACATTTTTCCTAACAAGCGTCTTGTTGCATTCTGATATATTTGTCCTTTTCATTTGCTGAAGGTCTCTCTGTGTTGTGAAGCGTCTGGAGAACATGCCGACCGTGGACAAAGACCGAGACCGAATGGCTCGTTGCACCTTTTACCTGTCTCTGCTCCTGAACCTGGCTCACCAGAAGATCGTCACCCGAAAGTGTGAGCCATCGGGATTTCCTTTGACTCTGCCAGTGCAGACTAAAAAAGTTCCCAGAATACTTTGTGAGGAAGGAACAGATCAGAGTAAAAGACGAGACAATGCTGTAGCAAAGTGCTCAATAATAGTAATGAAGCAATCTTTTTTTATTTTTTATGAAATAATTTAGGAAGCAGCACAAATCAATGTTTGGAACATAAAAGAGCTACATTTTCTAAAATCAAACTTAGTCTTTTTCCATTCTAAAATTCTTTGAACTCTTAAAAAGTGCCATCACACTAAGCAACGTTTACATCTAACTGTTCATTCAAAGCATACCTGATTGAAGTTCTTTCTGATGGGTGACTTTAATCATTATTAACAAACATCCAGGCATTTTGGATCAAGATGTTTGAAAACATGAAGAGACCAAATGTGGGACAGAAGAACCCTTTAGTTGACATTATGAGATTTGATGCCGTTAGCTGTGTAAAACCTAAAATAAGTTTCACTCTGTGGTATTTACAAAAATCATGGTTGTGGCTCCATCTCCATCTTCTACACCTCTTTCATCATGGAGGACCCCAATGCATTTCCTGGCCAGAGATGATTTATAACCCCTCCAGAGGAAGGTGACCAAGAAGCATCCATTTAGATGTCCGAATCACCCCAACTGACTCCTTTTGATGCAAAGGAGCAGCGGCTCTACTCCGAGCTCCCCCCAAGATGCCGGTGCTCCTCGCCCTCTAAGGCTGAGCTGGCCACCCTGTGAACGAAGCTCATTACAGACGCTCGTATCCAGGATCTTGATCTTTTGGTCACAATCCAAACATCGTGAGCACAGGTGAGGGTTGGAACGTAGACAGACCAGTAAATCCAGAGCTTTGCCTTTTTGACTCAACCATTTCTTCACCATGGCCAACCAAAGCAACATCCTCATTACTGAGGATGAGGTCCTGATCCATCCTACCATCACTCAGGAACAAGACGCCCAGATACTTAAACTTTTCCTGAGGCAAAGACTCCCCCTCGACCCGGAGGGGGCATTCCACCCGCTTTCAGTTAGAACATTGGCCTCTGATTTAGAGCTGACTCTCGCCCCGGCCACTTCACACTGGGCTGCGAACCACTCCAGTGGACGCTGAAGGGCTTGGCCAGAAGATGCCAGCAGAACCACATCATCTGCATAAAGCAGCAATGAGACCTTAAGGTTCTCAAACCTGACTCCTCCAGGACCGCACCTCGACAGGCTCTCAAGGCACAGTCCTGGCTGCACCATTCATTATTTTTTAATTTAGAGATGATCGACTGGAACCACAGTCTAAAGTCTAAATCTGATTACTTGCATGGATAAGAAATTTCTGAATGTTTTTGATCATAAATTGACAAAACACCACAGAAGTTTGTTTTTGCTCTGCCATTGAGAGCAGTCATCAGGGAGAAGTTCAGAGTTGAAACATGCTTTTTAAAAAAACGTTTCTATTTGCATGAAATGTGTTTGAAGTGATGTAAAACGTGAGATTTCATCCAAAATGTGTGTGTGTGTGCAGTTGGTCAGGAGGAGGGCTGTCCTCGCATCATTCAGAACAAGCTGTTCAGAACGTTCACCGTTGAAACTTTCAACAATGGCAGGTATGACGATCAGAGGCTGAAACCACTTTGTGAACCAGGAGGTTCGGTACTGTTAGGAAGAAAAGTTGATTTAAATCAGAGCTTTTAACGAGCAATGATTTTGTTTCCTTCCAGGGTCCTAAACAAAGTGTCAACATCAATGCGGGCCAAACTGGCAGCTTACAGCCTGGCTCTGCTGCTACACATGGGTCACATGAGCGCAGACCTGACGCTACTGCATCGCGACCTGCGAATCACTGAGGCCAAGTAAGCAACGCTTGACATGCATTACGTAGATAAATAATGCTGAGTAATGTTTCATCAAGTGCTCCTTTTCATCAGGCAATAAAGATTCTGTTTGTCGTGTTGGAAAAAATACATCATGAAGTAGTGAACAGATCTTAACAAAACATTCAAGAATAATACAAGACATGTCACTCCAAAATATATAAATACTTGAAGTATTAACAGACTGTGTGAGATCTTACAATCTTAGTTTGAAACTTTGGCATAAAAACAAGGATAGAAATGCATTTCTTCTAGCGATGCATGATATTGGATTTTTGGCCAATATCCGATTTGCCAGTATGTTGAAACTTATTTGGCCGATAACCGATACTAATACAGATATTTATTTTCCTAGACCTACTTACAGAGACTACATAGTTTTTTCTGTTATGGAATTAAAACACTACATTGTTCTGCGTGGTCTTTGCCAGTTTGGCTTGCTGCCAAATGCAGATGCCAAAAAGGTGCTGAAAATGATGCAACACTTCATGACGTTTACTCTCTCCTTCTCGCATCACTGATGCTGAGCAGTCATTGCAAATAGCAGTTCTGCTATCAGTTTCCGACACTTTAAAAAACTTCTACCCTGCCGACATTTTTCCTCGAGGCTCAATGGGATTTACCTGTATAAATAAAGGTTGATTGATTTTTACTTCTTCCTCTCCTGCCGCAATCAGACCAGTAGGTGCGCGTGATGTCATAACGTTGTGCTGGCATTGCAGGCATCCTTGTCACTGGGTTGTCAAAAACAGCACCTTTTATATATATTAGAGATGGGGCCGATCCGATCCAGTATCGGTATCGGCCTCCGATACCAGCATAATTTACGTATCGGACTTTCCGATCCACCTGCTGATATTTCCGATCCATGATGCATGTTGGCTTCAAACTATGGAATGGATTTCCTGAACAGAGGTGTGTCTCATGAACCCAGAGTAATAAGACCCGCCTCACATTCAGGAAATCCAGTTCATAGTTTGCAGCAGCTACAACGTGAGGACTGAGTTAGCTGCACTGTTGCTAACAGCTAACAAAGTTTTCAACTACACATGTCCGCTGTGTGGAAGTATTTTACACTAAACACCACAAAACAAGACAGCAACATGCAATGTCTACAGAGCCATAGCGCCACATTAAACCACGGTAAAGTTAGTTTTATGATGGACATTCGAGCTCCGTAGCTTCAGCGGGGCGCTGCTCTTTGCTCAACCCAAAACAAGCGACTCGACCCCGGCCAGCCGCGTCCAATCTGCCCCGCTCAGTCTGCCCGTCTCTGAGGAGGGACAGACTGAGCGCAGCTGCCCCAAATCAGGCTGCCTGCTTCAGATTGAACAAGAAGTAGACGTCGCTGAAACCACGGAGCTCAAATGTTTACAGAGAAGTTGCTAAACTTCATCATAATTAATGACAAACCACTATCAGTTGTAGAAAACGAAGGATTTCTCAGCTTGATACTTGCAGTCAAGATATAGTTTACCCTCCAGAGATATTTATCAGTACAACAGTAGACAATCATAAAAAACATATGATTTGAAAATTATATTAAAAACCAAAACAGCTACATTATAAAGTGATGTAAAATACTAAAAACAGGAACATGTCTGTTGGTTTATGCCAGGTGTTTAAAGCCATTTAACATTTTATTTTAATTCATTTAATCATTAATTTAAAAGAAACAAAATAAAAAAAAAATAAAAAAACATTGAACAAAAGAGTGTAGAAAGAAGAAAAAAATTCTTATCTGCCACTTCTTTAAAAAAATATAAAATAACTTTAAACAGTCACTTAAATTAATCACTTTAATATCCACTTTAAAGCTAGGAATAAAAATAAACATGTTTTGTGTTAGCAGAATTTAATTCTAACTTTAAAACTTATCCAACATTACTAAAACTTACATCAACTTGCCTTTTTGGACATGCATGCAAATATTTGTACAAATTGTACTTGAGGAGATTGGCTGCTTTCTGACACCTGCCAGCACGCTCGGCCACGCCCACTTTTCTGCTGCAGAGTGGGCTGCAAACAGGTGCTAAATCATTTAAAATAATTTATTTTAAATAAAAATCCATGCCAATCATCTGGCTCATCCATCAATCAGCCACTTGTGTGTCATTTCCAATCTTACTTTGAAAAACTGCAATAGAGCAAGTCTGCAAAAAACGAGCTGCGAGCGCCTTGTATTAATTTTGATGGAATGACTGATATTCAACTTTGCTGCTATCGGCCAATACCATGCCCATATCATTGTGCATCCCTATTTTTTTCTGTTAAATTTATGTTTTGATCACATTTCAAGAAGTTTCTTCAGGAAGAGGCTTGTTGCAGGATTTCAGCCAACCAAAAAATGTTCTGTTCTTACAGGATGGTTGAGGTTGCAAAGTCAATGGGACTGTCTTTGAATAAACCAGCCCGGGTCAAGAGTGGCGAGGCTGGACTGAGCCAGGACAACCGGCATGCCTCTGTTGTTCTGCCTCTGGTCAAATACGATCAGTTCCTTGAGAGACGGAAGCGCAAGAAAATGCACTGAAGACGTAAAGAACAGGAAAGAGACTTTAAGAAGTGGAAACAACACAAACAGGAAGTGTTTATTTGTGTATTCTGTCAACAAATAAAGAGGTTAACTTTGAATTGGTGACATTTATATGCTTGCCGTTGAAAATACAAAAAAGCAGACCAATAAGCTGTAAACTTCTAGATGACAGGACATCCAGCATAAACTTAAAGGCACATCTGTCAACATCACATATTGCACAACAAACTTTTCCTTCCGTCTGGTTGGTCCCAAGTGAGGCAGCACATTCCCCTCAGTCTCGTCTCATTAGTATAATTCTATAAAAACACAGACTCGCCTGGAAACAACACTGTGCAATAGGCAGAAGCTTCATTTTGGCTTAGTTTTTGCATAAAGAGTTCAAATGAACACTCCCACCACAGCTACAGTCGCTTATTTTAAAAGTCAAAAGGCACACAGCTTTACTTTCTGAAGCCTCCGGCTCCTGCTAGGATTTGTAAATGTGCACATCCTAAACCAGAGTCCCGGGAACATTCTGTACAGTGAAAGTGAGTTTAAAGTGAGGCTTTACAGACAGATGTGAGAAATGTAAGATGACAAAGTGACACTGACTTTTTTTTGTCTGATACCCAAATAATCAAAGAATCGGATTCTCTTTATCGTCATTGGTACAACATTATCTGTGCAGTCAAATAAAAAAAACAATAAATAGAGTAATAAAAACAATAAAAGATACACAAGTTATATAATTTAAAATCTACAAGTTATAAAAATAGACAAAAAATAAATCCTAGAAGACACCAGTCTGTCCAACGGTTACAGATTTCTGAATTATTGCCCGTTCCCTGGGTTACTGTGCTCCATCACCGTTTGGCAGCATTTAGTAGTGATTTATTTTTTACTCTTCGTTCTGGCCCTGATTGTCCAGTAACGTCTGCCTGATGGCAGCAGCTCAGATTGTAACTGGTGTGTGATGGTTCCCACAAAATCCTGTCAGCTTTCTTAACGCAGTGGGAACAGTGAGTATCCTCCGACATCTTTTATGATCCTGGAGTGCTTCTGTGCCACTGTGGAGGTGGAGAACAACCAGGTACTGTCAGTTCTTGATTGTGCAACAGTAAGAGGACACCATGATGTTTTTCCTGAGAACTCACAGGAAATAAAGTCTGCTGGGTGGTCTTTGACAGCTCAGCTGTGTTGACGCTCCGGTCAGATCATCTGTGCCACAGACACCCAGGAAACAAAAGTCAGAAACCCTCTCCTCAGTTCCTATATGCAGTGGTTGACTCAGATTTTTTCCTCCTAAATCCCACAAATAATCCACACTGTCAACAACTTCACCTCGACCATCGGCAGCTTCGTCCTGCCCCGAGATGAGTCCTACTACTGTTTTTTTTTTTTTTTTTAAGCAAATTTGACAATGGTGTTGCTGGTGAGAGCACAAGGGTGTAAAAGCAGTGGACTCGGTATGCTGCCCTGTTGCGGGGGTAGTTAATGAAGCTAAGTAATGAGGACACGAGTTGACCCAGTCAAACCCTCAGAGTGGTTCGATCTAAAGTCTTTGACCCACAGATGGGAGTATGGCAGTCCAGTGTCCAGTAACTTGAAACAACTTATCTGGGAGAATGGCATAGAAAGCAGAGCTGTGCATGGTTCCTCTGCTGCTCCACGAGACGGATGCAGCTCAGTGGATCTGAGCCCTGCATGTGACCTGACGATGGTCAAAGGTGGGTGGCATAAAAGACGTGATACGACTGGTCCAGTTTCTTAAAGTACTTCATAGCAGAAGTGAGTGCTACTGGTTATCCTATCCTTAGTGGGGTGTGATGCAAACTTGTTAGGCAGAGGGACTATGATAGAGGACTTCAAGCAAGATGGGACAGTTGTCTTGGCCAGGGACTGGTTAAAGATCCAAGACCCTCTCCAGCTGGACTACAGTCCTTCAGTGCACATCCTGGGGTCCTGTATGGTCCAGCTGCCTTCCTTGTGTTGACCACTCGCAGCGTGCGCCTCACTTCGCACTCGTCTGTCCTATTGTGAGCTGCCTGGTGTAACATGGACCAGAGATTTTTCTTGGTTTCACAAGATTTAAGAAGCTTCAATGGATCAAATAAATATTAATCTAAAAGCAAAAAAAAAAGGTGATACATTTTCACCCCCCCCCCCCCCTAAAAAAAAAAAAATTGGACAAGCGTGGGGTTGGGTTTACCAGGATAGGATCAGCCCATTTTCAGATGTCCAGTCCAGCCTCCCCATTCAAGCAATGTTTTGCAGCGAGGTCCTGAGCAGGAAGGCACAGAAACAAACCTGATGCACTCGCACACCTTTTCCTTGTGTCACAATCTGAAGGAGGAAGATCAAGTGACAACCTGAACAGGAAGCTGCTGCTAAATTACTCATGATCTCTGCAACCTCATTAACTTGAAATGTTCACCAAACACTAACTGAAGTGGTGAAAGGTGTAAAAATGAAATGTTTCACAGATTCATCAGAATAAAAATGTTAGTGTGATGACGAACACACATTACTCCAGTTGAGCTTGTCTGTGATTGGACAAACGCCTCTGAAGAGACACCGTCTGACGATGCAGCCAAGGACGGATGATGCCAGTATCTGAGCCTCCGAGTCCCTGTCTAGCTCCTGCTGAAGGGTGGGGGGTTCAGGGGTCACAGATGGGGGTCCAGGAGAGGAGGAAAGTGGCAGAAAGCCATCCACCAGAGGCTTGAGCAAACGGAACCGTCCTTGATTCTCATGGGATTTTAGAAATCAGTGAGAAGAGTTTTGTAAAAGTTGTGAGCTCCGTCTCCTGGTCCTCTCAATCACTGTGCTCACCATCATTCCAACCATCTTCTAGAACAGTTCCCTGACAAACTGCATCTCCACCTGCAGAGTCAGGCTCACAGATCATCAGTGACCAGATCCTGACCTGGTCAGCTGACCGGTGGAGTTGTGGAGTTTTCATGCGCTGTCAGTTTTCACAGAATGGAGCAGAACATGCTGCCGCTGTGGCAACCGCTTTCCACAGTAGCTCCAACCCTGGCGGTCATGGAAATCCCAAGACGGGAGGGATACTGGGACGAGGAGATGCCGGCGGGGGAAACAGCCAGTGGGCGAGGAGGAGGGTTTTCCAAAACCCAGGGGGGAGCAGGTGCACAGCTAGAAATATGTGGCGAAAGAAAGAAAAATAACAGCACATGAAACTTCTGTTGAAGATTATTTTTCACAGCTGTTAATGGCATTCCACCAACAAAACAGACTGAAGCTACTTTTTGTGTTTGCTCTTTAAGGGAACATCTTAACCTTTATCTGCTGAATGCCACAATATGTTCAACACTTAACTGCTAACTAGCTACCATACGGTGCTGAACAAACTATTTCCAATTAAAAAAATTAAATCAGGTCCTCTGGACATTAAAAAAAAAAAAAAATTGTAGAAACATTTCGTCTTTCACCCGAAAGACTTCTTCAGTCTGAGGTGCTGTATTCAGCTCAGTCTTATAAATAGCACCTTCTTGTAGTGGATCAACCAGTTTATCAAGTTCACACGAGAAGATGTAAAAAATGGCAGGTTGGCTTTCTTGGACTGTGAGGTCTCAGTCTCTGATAGAGGACATTTGCAAACTGAGGTGTACCGCAAACCCACACACACAGACCAGTATTTGCAGTTTGACTCCCATCACCCTTTGTAGAACAAGTTAGGAGTCATCAGGACTCTGTATCACAGAGCAGACAGCGTCCCCACTAGCTCAGGAGCCAGGCAGAAGGAGAAATCCCACACAAGACAGGCTCTAGAGCATTGTGGATATCCTAACTGGGCCTTCCTGAAAGCAGAGAAGAAACCCAAACAGGACTCCAGTCAGCCATCAGGTGAAAAGGAGGAACCCAGACCAGTGGTCATTCCATATGTTGAGGGAGTATCAGAGAAACTGAGACGTTTATTTTCTAAACATAAAGTCCCAGTGGCTTTTAAACCCCAAAATACATTACGGCAAAGACTGGTTCATCCCAAAGACCCAGTCCCCCGGCACAAACAGAGCAATGTTGTGTATGCTGTTCAGTGTAAGGAGGGCTGTGATCAGTCTTACATCGGGGAAACTAAACAGCCACTAGCCAAAAGGATGGCCCAGCACAGAAGATCAACATCATCAGGCCAGGATTCTGCGGTCTACACTCAACTCCAGGCCAGCGGTCACTCTTTCAGAGATGAAGATGTTCACATCCTGGACAGAGAGGAACGATGGTTTGAGAGAGGAGTAAAGGAGGCCATCTTTGTGAAAAGAAATCGTCCATCATTAAACAGGGGTGGAGGCCTCCGGGTTCAACTGTCCCCCTCTTACAATGCTGTGATTGCTGGTATCACTCAGCCCTCTGAACAGTAAACAGCCATCAGTGTGCTAATGACCCATTGTTAGACTGATGGTCCTTCTTGATCATGTGATCAGCTGGTTTTGGTTGTCAGCAGCAAACTGGTTGATCCACTCTGAGAAGGTGCTATTTAAGAGACTGAGCTGAATACAGCACCTCAGACTGAGGAAGTCTCTCGGATGAGAGACGAAACGTTTCTACATTTTTTTTTTGTTGTTGTTGTTTTGCTTTGGGTTTTTTTAATGTCCAGAGGACCAGATTTAACTTTTTTAGATTTTTCTACCTGGATTATTGAGCATGCATCAGGATATATTTCCAATTTTTTAAGTGATAAAAAGCAGTGAGCTACAGAGCTAAAAACTGCCATAAAATCAAACAATAACAAACTGATCTATAAAAAAACAAAAGTTAAATGAAGGCTTACTGACCTCATTAGAGAAAATTTTGGATTAGAAAAAATAATTTTAGCTGCCGTTCTTGTAACTGTGGCCCTTGTTTACATCTTATGTGTAAAAAAACATGAGCCTGTGGACAAACTTTCAACTCTGGAGACAAAGTTAGACATTTGACTAAGCTGGCTTGGACTTGTGTAGAGGAGGGAAAGTGGATATACTGCATGTTGAATATGGAGATGCTAAGGAGGAGGTAAAAAGGGAAAGCACAGAGGAGGTTTATGGATGTAGTGGAGGAGGATGTGCAGAGGGCTGGTGTGACAGAGGAGGATGCTAGAGATAGCGAGGCGTGGGCAGATCCGCCTCTCAACCCCTAAAGGAAGCATCTGAGAGAACGAAGACTAAAGACAAACGGATCGAGAACTGCAGCTCGACAGGTTCATGCAGGCACCGACTCCTCACAGCTGTTATTGGAGCGACTGAAACACTGTTATTATGAAAATATCACGGCTGCTCTGTTGACATTCAAAGAAAAGGGAGAAAATGTGCAGACAGTAGTTTGTTGCTTAGTTACCTGTTATTAGGCTTTCTATAACTGTTGTTGCACAACACACACGTTTCACTGCCAGGATCTATATGTAGGAGGGATTTCTTGTTGTCTGGGTGGCCCTGGAACAAGACATTGTCATGGACAGCACCTTTTACTGGCCCCAGCAGAGCAATGCCACAGCCCTGTACTGGTTGGACACGATTACGAACCACCTATAGACAAAAATCATTAAAAATATATAAATAAATTTACCTACTCCAATGTGATTTGAAAAAGTGCTAAATCTACTTGTCACCTTGACGTCAGAGCTTGCAGAGACCTGGATTCCACATCCACAGTTACCAACCACATCGTTCTCCACGATCTGCCCATTACCGCTGAGCCTCACACCGTGGCCGCTGTTCTCATAGATGCCGTTACCACGAAGCTCTACCCTGCAGTCTTTCTCCACGGTGACACCGCCTCGACCGTTTTCGACGATGCAGTTTGTGACGAGCCGGGTCAGCTGACTGCTCTGCACCACAGCGATGCCGGGACCACAGTTGCTGTTTACAAGGTTTCCAAAAACATTCAGGGCCTCGCTGCTCTTCACAAACAGGCCAACCGCTGCAGAGACAGAAAGAGGAGATGAAAGGTTGATTTAAGGTGGCAATAAACACATCAGATGTGAAACACTCACGTTAGTACCTCCGTTGTAGCTTAAGCAGTTGCCTTCCACCAGAGCCACGCTGACGGAGCGGCGAGCAGAGTGTCGCTCGTCCTCGCTGTCCAGATCGCTCTCCCAGGCGAAGAGTTCTCCCTCTTCATTAAAGTTCTCCTGCCCTTCTCTTGCCTCTCCGTCGGCTACTCTTCTTTCCCCGACGGCTGCATCTCCACCTTCCTGCCCGGGCCAGTTGCCCTCCCTGGCCTCAACGTTTTCAGGGTCCTTCCTACAAAATACCGCCAGCCCGTACATGCAGTTATGGATGATGTAGTTGCCCAGGAGCTGTGGGAGGCTGGATGACATAACCCACACACCGCAGCCTTTGTTACCTTAAGAATCAGAACAAGGGGAAGTAAAGCATCAAGAACACGGTGTCAAAAAAAAAAAAGTTTCTCTGCATTTAATGCTGCCAATATGAGAAAACATTGCATACAGTAGACACGGTTTCCCTCAATAAGTCCACGTCCCCTCTCTCCCACAACCACACCATCTGAGTAGCCGTAGCAGATGTAGTTGTTCCTCAGAATGGGGTCACCTCCTCTGCGGATGTCCACTCCGCCCCACTGGTTCTCCCTGATCACGTTTTCTAGGACATTAATGCCACACACACATGAAGAATCCAGTCACGATGAAGCGTAATATGGACGAGGAGATTGTGCAAAGCCACTTACACGCACCTGTTATCATCCCCCTGCCGTTCTCATTTATAGCCACTCCTGCTGCCTGGCCCTGAAAGATGTGATTCCCACTAAGAACGAACGTGGAGAGAGTTCAGACTTAACTTTTCACAAAAACAGAACCTCCATCCATCCATCCGTTATCTTTACCCACTTCTATGGTACTTTCTGAGCTGTGGGGAGCTGGTCCCCATCTCCAGCAGTCACTGCGAGAGGTGGGGACATCCTGGACAGGTCACAAGTCCATCACAGGGAGACAAACCACCATTTACACTCTCACTCACACCTACGGGCAATTTAGAGTTACCAGTTAACCACATGGTGTTGGTCTGTGGGAGGAAACCAGAGTATCCAGGAAAAACCTGTGTGCATGAGAAGAACATGCAAACATCACCAGGCTCCAGGTTCAAGGTTCTTTATTGTCATTCACGTCACATGTGGTACACGAAGTGGAACAAAATTGTGTACTCAAGGTCCCAGTTACTCCCAAAACTATAAAGTGTAAAAAATAAACGGTATATAAGGAACTGGAGGTGATCCTGCAGCAGCTTTAACCACTGTGCCACCAGAAACAGAACATTTGATTCTTTTAAGTGTTTTTGTTTTTACATAAGCACATCCGCCTCCAGCATTTTCCTCAAACATTATTATGCTAGACTACTTTCACCACACATTTACAGCTTGGGTAAATGCAGCAGCAACATGCCAGCATGATTCAGATTACCAAGAGTTTAATAAAGACAACCAAACGAGCCAAGTAGTTCCACAAATGTTTCACAACAACAACAAAAAGGTTTTCTAATATAAATAAAGGCTTAGCAATCCTTTAAGGGATGCACATCATCTGCCACCTTTCATGCCATGATAAATTAAGGTCATCTTCTGTTGAGAAGAGATAGTATGAACATCTCGTGGCAGCACAATGGCTCAGTGGTTAGCACTGTTGCCTCACAGCAAGAAGGTCCTGGGTTCAGTCCCCAGTTGGACCTGGGGTCTTTCTGTGTCGAGTTTGCATGTTCTTTTCGTGCATGCATGGATTTTCTCCAGGTACTCTGGTTTCCTCCCACAGACCAAAAACATGCATGTTAGTCTGCCTTCAGGTCCAGGCCTCCCTTGCAAAAGAGATCTGTGATCTCAATGGGATTTGTCTGTTTAAATAAAGGTTAATAAATAAATATTAACAATCTCACGTAATAAGATCTCGCAAAATGTAATGGCACCCCGTGTGTTGAGGATGACTCTCTGCTACTACCACACAAACGTGAGCTCAATATCTGACAAGTTCTGCCATTTTAGTGTTGGCTAAGGTCAATTAGCCGTAGCTGCCGTTTGAAATGGAGTTGACTCCAAATATTAATGAGTTTTAACCAACGATTACTTTCTGAAAGTTTCACTAAAACTCATACACTGGTTCAAGAGATATTTTGCTAACAGACAGACAGTGTTGACTAAACAGGAACGCTAAAGCAAAGACGTTGATCAGTAAGGACAACTTGGAGTATCTGTTGAGAACAACTCTCAGCTGCTACAACAAATATCAGCTCAGTTTTTGTAGCAGAGGCTGAATTACAGCTGTTTTAACGTTTGTAAAAGTTGATTAGCTGTGACGAACATCTTAAATGCAGTTGATTCCAAAAACACATCAGCCTTAGGCTACGTTCACACTGCAGGTCTTATTGCTCAATTCTCTTTTATTTGTTTTGGCCTGGTCGTTCACATCATCATTAGATCATTAGAATGTGACCACCATCAAACTCCACTGTGAACCAAAATGTGACATCACATACGGCACGCTGTGATTAAGGGAGTAAAGATGGACGCTACACATGTTAGCATGTGTGATTCTGAAGTTGTGCAATCAGAAATGATTAAATTGTTATCTGACAGGCTTGTTTGGTCCAGCGTTTATATTTAATCTTGCATCTTGACAGCTCCTTAGGTGCAGCGTTGCATTTTTGGAACGGGAATATTTGAATATTTGGTGCATGAGATATTCTGCTAGTGATACAGAGGAGCACACGCGTGTTCATAAGCAACATGGGCAAATACACCTTTCAACTTTGGGCTACAGTTTATTTATTCATATACTGGACGTGTCTAACACAGAACAGATACAAATAATATGTTGTTTTCCTAACAGCCAAAAATACAGACACACTTGATTTAAAATGTTCTCAGTTAAAAAAAAAAAGTTTACATAGGAGTGGTAGCAGCAGCTAGCTGTAGCACTTCAAGTGCAGACTGATGCACTTCCTGCAGAGGCATCATAACATATCTGCTGGAATACCTGCGTTATGCACAACTGACACCAATGTAAAGGTTTATTAAATCAGATTGGGATGAAATGCTGTGAAATTTTAGAGAATGGAGTTAAGGTTTCGGCAAATCTGCTTTGGTAATCTGAGGTTGTTCAGAGTTAGTTACAAGTAAAATGTTAAATGACATAACCTATCTGCAGAAGCCCCTTTTAAAAGACCTTAATTCCCTGTTTAACATGAAAGTTGTTCAGGTGTTATCACCTAATGAATTACAGCAGACAGCTAACAGCTGTAATAACAGCTGTAGTAACAGCTGTAGTAACGACTCAGTAAGACACTTGAATAAAGCTGAGCCAACATAAATGTTATTAGTAATGAGTGTTCTGATACTTTGAGTTAAACTATCACCTGTGAGAAAGGTCTTGTTGATTTTCTCCCCAACAACAAGGGTTTGATTTTTTTTGTGAGTGAGATGTTACATTTTGTCTGTACTCAGAAACCAACTTAGAATTTGCACAAACATTGAACAATACCTAAATATTGGTAAATGTAGAACTGACACAATCCAAAGTGAGTTGGATCCAACTTACCTCACCACAGGATTCCCGCTGAAGAGAACATACACTCCAGCTTCTTTGTTGTTGTAGATCAGGTTGCTCCGAATTGAACCTCTCCCATTGCCAAGTACAACGATGCCAGATCGCAAACCACTGTGTATCTTATTGCACTGTGGAACGAAGCACAGAAATTACAGAGGGAATACAGAGCAGCACACTTACTTTCAGTTTTGTAAAGATTTGGGCAACTTCAGTGAGTAAGAAATAATAAACCAAGACGTTCTGGATAAAAAGGTGTTACATTTAAGATTTCCCTCAACACAAAACCTGGACAGGAGTGGTGCCAGATTTACCAGGACGATAGGGTTAGCCCCTTTTCGGATGTCCAATCCAGCCTCCCCATTTGAGTGGATGTTGTTTTCTGCAATGAGGCCCTGAGCAGAAAGTCGCAGAAACACACCGGATGCACGGCACTCACACACCTCATTTCTCTGCATCACAATCTGAAGGAAGAGAGAAAAGTTAAGATCAGGTAACAACCTGAGCAGGAAGCTGCTGCTAAATTACTAATCAATCAATCAATCAATCAATCAATCAATCAATCCATCCATCCATCCATCCATCCATCCATCCCTACTTCTTCCTTTTTCAGGTCACAGGGGTCACTGGTGCCCATGTCCAGCAATCACTGTGCGAGAGGCAGGGTACACCCTGGACAGGTCTCCAGTCCATCACAGGGACACACAGAGACACACGAGACAAACAACCATTCACTCTCTCTCTCACACCTAGAGACAATTACCAATCAGTCTAACATGCATGTTTTTGGTCTGTGGGAGGAAACCGGAGTACCCGGCGAAAACCCATAAAATCTTAGCTAAATATAAATAAAGGGACTAAACTTGTAAAATTTAAACATTTCACAGATTCATCAGATTAAAAACGTTATTGTGGTGACACTTACGGTGGAGTTTTGGATGCAGCGGACAGCGTAGTTCAACCCTCGGAATACATTTTCCTCCAGTCGAGCTTGTCCATAATTAGACAAATGCACACCTCCCTTCCCGTCCCTGAAGAGACACCGTCTGACGATGCAGCCAAGGACAGATGACGCCAGCATCTGAGCCTCTGAGTCCCTGTCTAGCTCCTGCTGAAGGGTGAGGGGTTCAGGGGTCACAGATGGGGGTGCAGGGGAGGAGGAAAGTGGCAGAGAGCCATCCTCCCGAGGCTTGAGCAAATGGGACAGGCCGTGATTCTCATATGGGATTTTATAAATCAGTGAGAAGAGTTTTTTAGAGCTGTGAGTTCCTTCTGTCTTCTGCTCGTCTCCATCGCTGTGCTCACCATCATTCCAACCATCTTCTATAACAGTTCCCTGACAAACTGCATCTCCGCCTGTCTTTCTCTTCCAGTCCTCCATGCTCACAAACTCCTTTTTGAGACCACACGCAGAGTCAGGCTCGTCAGTGGAGCCGCCCTGAGGGCTGCCGGGGTAGCTACTGAACTGACTTGTGAATGACCTGGCTAAGGCAGCTAGATGTTTACAAGCCCAGTTCCTTTCTGATGCCGGAGGACCCTCCACAGTCACTGAAGCCGCGTCGCTTCCTGAGAAGTCACAGCTGTCCAACAAACTGGTAACGATGCCCAGAAGGTGGGCAGAGCTGCCCTGGGAGAAGGAGCAAAAACGTGCCTGGCAGGTCCCAGGACCACGGATCTGCAGCTGGGCTCCCTCAAAGTTGCAGTTGTCCAGCTGGACGTGACCCCACGATGTCTAAGAGAGAGCAAGGTGAGACGGCACGAGTCAGACAGACTCAAAGAAACTCAGTAGACTTGATGTGGTTCTGTGGAAAGGTCATAAACTATTAATATATGATCTACTGTAGAGACATGTAATGGACAGTGATTTAGGACATTCAGGACAAAAGGTTCATTAAAAAATCACAACTAGTAGTGACAAGCTGTTTCCTACAAGAGCGTTTCAAGTTAAGCTGCTTTGTGTTTTGTTGTGCTCACATTTGCACTACTGTATATTGTTCAACCCTGCATGAGTAAATGCCAAGGATGATCAGAAATATCAACTAATTACCAACATATCTGATGTGTTTTTGCTTAAAATGACAATTATTACAGCCTCAGTTTAGAGAAACAGTTTATTTCTGACAGGACTGACAAGTTAGAAAGTCCAACAACATCCAAGACCAGAGGACTGATGCCGTCTTAAAACTCTAATTAAAGAAAATCACAGCATTTCATATAATCACCGTCTTATAAACCTTTATATTATTATATATTGTATATCATTGTTTGCATAGAAAGTTTTGAGAGTACTGTACTAACAGTGGCAGCTAGCTGTAGCACTTTGCCACAGTGTAAAGTACCTCTGAAAAGAAAATCATAATATTTCTGCTGTAAAAATACCAGTAATATTTAATGTAAAATCCATGTCTTTGTCAACGTAAAGCATTATAAAACGTGGCCTGTGCTGGTAAAATGAGCTTGAGCTGCAGTGCAAAATAAATAAAAAAAAATGTTGAATTTGGCCACATCTGAGATGCAGTCCAGTCCATAAAGACACTAAAATATCAGAGTTGTCAAACAGACACTCGTAAATGAAACCAGCTTGCTGCTAGTCTGGTGATGAAGCCACAAACTGTAAACCCTTTAAGACGGGAGGATTTAAAACAATATTAACTCAGTATTGAAAATACCTCATTTTGCCAGAATGGGTAACAAATAAAGTTCACAATTTTTTATTTTTTTAGATTGGAGTTATTTCAGGTGAGCAACAATCAAATAGCTCAGAGGTGTCCTGGTCCTCAGGAGACATTATCCTGCATGTTTTACTTTTTATAATCTGCACCGATGGTACAATTACCTCTTTATTCTCCACAGAAGCCTGTTAATAACCCAGTGAATCAAATCGGGTGTGTTGGGGCACAGAAACATCTAAAACATGCAGGATAGTAACTCTCGAGGAACGGGATTTCCACACAAACCCACTGAGGACATGCAGGACAGGTCCCTGGAGGTCCAGGATGGAACCCCTGCTCCTGTAAGTGTTCAGGAAACCCACAAGACAAGATGTTACTTCACCTTGTAGACAACCGTGGAGAACCAGGGCGGCATGAAGACCAGGTTACACAGTCTGGCAGTGGGACACTGCTGCTCCATGCAGACCAGGAGGGCCACCTCGCCCAGTCGCCCCAAACCAACCAGCTCCACTGGCACCTTCAGCGCCACCTCTGCCTGCTCCTCATACACCCCAGGGTGGAGAACCACCCGGTCGTAGGGCCCCACCACCCCCAGAGCTCCGCGCAAGGTCTCAAACTCACACCCGGGGCCCACGTGCCACACCCTGCGGTCCTTCCGCCGACGGAAAAACAGGAGACAGGCGGAGGACTGGAGCTCCGGACAGTTTCGAGTCCAGGTGCGGGTGGCGAGCGCGTGCTGCCTCAGCGCCTCCCTCCAGGACTGGGGCTCCACGTGCGGCTGACTGGGCCAGTTGGGATGGCGACACTCGGGGCAGCCCAGGCACAGCTGCCTCCAGCGCGTGTTGTCCAGGGACAAGACGAGCTCCCGCCACGCGCGGCACACCTGGCAGCAGCGGCCCAGGTCCGGGAGCGGCAGGTAGGCCAGGATGAGCCTCCACAGCTCCACGGGGAGGCTCCCGGTCTCCATGGCAACGGAGAGACACACCCGCCGGGGAGCTGGAGACAGACAGGTGGAGGTGGAGACACTTAGAGCTACAGAAACCACTCAGGTATACAGCAATAACAACACCACGCACGCGCACAACCGTGTTTCACTTCAGGAGGAAAAAAAAACTGTTTCAACACTTTTGAATTCACGTTTAATTTACGTAGCGGCAACATTTCCTCTCAAGCAGAACACCGGCCGTGTGGTTCAGTAAAGTTGGACAGCTAGCTAGCCAAGAAGCGCTACTTTCTTAACAAAGCTTGGTGTAACTTCCGTTAGCTCAAAAAAACATGACGGAAAAGCACGAAAGCTTTACCCCTCAGCTGTTCGCAACAGTCCGGAGGATCAGCACACCCTCATGCCTGCGACCTGACTGCGTGTCTGCGGGAAAAGGTCCACTCCGAGCAGCCCATGGTGCAGATGTGGAGCTACGGCGAGAGAGACGGACACACAGGTCCTCCGCTTCCCAAAAAAGTGGGCGTTTACCTTTGAGAGGCTCCTCCCACCTGCGCGCGCACCTTAAAAATGGGACTTTTCTGGGGTTAAGAAATGCAGCTATGCTGGAAAAAAAAAAGTTCATAACAAACAAAAGCATGCAGTCAGTCTGTACACAAGTCTTTTAATTGTTCTTCCGAGCTACGGCTCTTCTGTTCAGGATTTATGAAGGAATGCAAGAGTTTCTTTGGAACGTTGTGTGCTATTTATTTATTTATTTTATTTTCTGTCTAGTCTTGGCACCTGAGCATGTCATTGTAAATAATGCACGTTTTATTGACGTGTGTTGCAAAAGACGAGGAGGAAAAACATGCATTGCTGACCAATTTGAGAGAGTAAGTAAAGGCCTACGTGTAAGTCCAATTATTGTGTGTGTAATGTTTTACAAGCTTTTTATGACCATTCTATGTGAATCTTTTATATATATATTTTGGTTAGAGATAACATTGGGGGCACTGTCTGGTAAAATCTTATGAGAAGTGGATGAGGGTAGAATTTGTGCTGATAGATGTTACTTTGGATTGATTGAATCAGAAATGAAATTTGTGCAGACAGGAACATTAAAATTAACGGGGTCTGTTTATCTTCTGCTGAGTCTCTTCAGCTCAAGTCCTGGATCCTGCAGCTGGACTCTGTGTCCAAGAGATGGCAACGTTGTTCCAGTGACATCTGACTCTGCAAGTAAAACTTCCATCATAACACAGTACAAGTGATTTCTTTCTTTCTTTAGTTATTTCAGCACACACTTTTGAAAAATTGAATTTTAATTTTTCATCTCAAAGAAACAAAACAATCACACATTTATGAGGAAACAGCAGTTTTTTGTACACAAAGCCTTTATTTTATTTTTGTAAATGTGCTATTTATATGAAATTGTTATGAACATAATAAAAAAAATCTGCCAGAAAAGTTATTAATCTGTTTATGTTTATACATGATTCATGCTGTTCATGTCTTCAGGAGGCAAAATCTTGAGCTTTTCATTTCAGACATGCAAGGCTCCTCACCTGTTCCTCACAAGGTCCAGGGAGATTGGAAAAAAAAAAAACATGTGAAAACACTAAATGATCACCACTTTACATCAGCAAATACTTTAAAGCTTTACACACATTTTAAATGAGTCTTAAACACTTTAAACACAAACACATGAAATAAATATCCAACAGAAACAACAACTTTTGAATAAAACGTCAGACAAAACCTTTGATAAAATCATAGGAATACATTGAGAAAAACAACAACATGTAAACTTTACAAGTTTTAGTCACTTCTTCTTTTAGTATAACTGCAGTTCTTTTACTTGTATAAGTATTTACTGTCAAAGAATGAAGGAAAGCTGGAACAGAGGTTTCAGGTTCAAGACTTTTCTTCAGGTTTGAACGAACACAATTTCACGTTGTACTAAAATATGTCGTTTAAAGTAATAATATATTGTGTATATAATGTTTAATACATAGGTCGGGGTTGGCAACATTTTTTTTTTCCAAAGGGCCAAACAGAGATATTTAGAGCAATCAAAGGGCCATATAGATAAATAATCTGGAAGACTTAACGGTTGTTGCCATAGCATAATTAGCATGCTTGATATAAAGATGACTAATACTCATTAGGAATAAAATACACACTCTGTAAACTGGCTCTCGTGATAACACATTTTATTAGCTTAAATATGCAACAAACAAACAAAGTTTTATATGTTTTGCTTTTCTGGGGTCTTTAAGGTTCAGTCTAGTTCTTGAAACATGACTTAAAACAAAGTTTTAGCCTCTTCGTGTATTTTTCCAAGATATTTTATTTAGACTTCCTTAAGTTTCATTGATTAAAAAGCAGGTTTTAATCAGCTTCTTTAAAATAGGTTTTCTTTTTCAACTAAGGATATTTGAGGGCCGGGTGGAGATTATCCAAGGTCCACGTTTGGCCCTCCGGCCACATGTTGCCCACGTCTGATAGGTGCTTAAATGAAAGACGACTGGACTTGCTTTCTTGTTTTCTGAAAATGCTTCACCTCTGATGTGAGTCTCTTCAGTTTTGTTTGGGCTTCCTAAGTCACACTTGGGACAACAACAGTAAACGTGTCAACGGAGCCACTACAGGTACTGACAGTCATATTTTACCATCATACCTTGGTGTCTTTTTGGCCCTCAGTACAACCATAAGATCACCGGCTATTGACTGTCAGCTGCCGCGTGAATCTCTGTTAAGAAGAAATAAAGGAGCTTTGAGCTGCAACATTACTTTTAGTGTTTCCAGGTCTTTAGGGGAAGGTTTGGTCTTCATAGTGTCTGCCTACAAAGAAGAAAAATCAACAATTTAACCAAGACGGTGTCAAGAAGGCTCATTTTGTAATTCAATCAAAACATAAGATTATTAAAATCTTATTCAGATTTTGGGACTTCCTTAGGCAGTTTTTTTTAATAAACAACTGTTTCATGTTGGACAGTCATTATGCTTATTCACTACAAAAAAAATGTTGTAAATTGTAAATTGTTTAGCTCAAATCAAATATAGTTTATTCCATCTTAATTGTTCATATTTAGTTCTAAAAAGTTGTAAAATGTGTCTTTTATTTGACACAGAAAGACACATTGATAGTTGGACATTGTTCAAAACATCCTTACACATTATAAATAATATCAGGCACTGATTAGAGCAGGAATAAAACAATGTTGGCTACCGTATAATAAAACAATAACCACTGATTCTGTTAAGTGTTCAGTAAATCCAA